TGGTGACACCCTGACGCGGTGACGCGTGACCTATGGTGACGCGGTGACGCGGCAATGAATGATAGATGGTGACGTTGTGACGCGTGACCTATGGTGACGCGGTGACGCGGCAATGAATGATAGATGGTGACGTTGTGACGCGTGACCGATGGTGACGCGGCAATGAATGATAGATGGTGACGCGGTGACGCGGCAATGAATGATAGATGGTGACGTCATGACGCGTGACCGATGGTGACGCGGTGACGCGGCAATGAATGATAGATGGTGACGTCATGACGCGTGACCGATGGTGACGCGGTGACGCGGCAATGAATGATAGATGGTGACGTCATGACGCGTGACCGATGGTGACATCGTGACGCGTGACCAATGGTCACGCGGTTACGCGTGACTGATGGTGACGCGGCAATGAATGATAGATGGTGACGTCGTGACGCGTGACCGATGGTGACGCAGCAATGAATGATAGATGGTGACATCGTGACGCGTGACCGATGGTGACATTGTGACCCGTGACCGATGGTGACACCCTGACGCGGGCTCTGCGACAGCGCAGGGACACAAACTTACGCCGCATTCGTCCGAGCAGTGAGCGTCGCCGCAAAGCCCCGCTACAGAGTGCACAATACTGGCGCTGCAGAGTTGACACTAGCGCCACCTACCCCCCGATGTGATAACCCTAAAGTTCCTGCACATAGGTGGCGCTGTGAATAGTTGCTGGGAGCGATTCGGAGTAGCGGTAGACATAGAAGTGGTGGCGCCCTCAAGGAGCGCCACACCGGCGCCACCTGTAGGAAGGAGACTGACTGCAGCTGTTGCAGTCTGTGATGAAGTGACGCTTATGACGTGTGGAATTGGTTTGTGTTTGTTTCTGTAGACGGCGCAGGTTGTGTATGCGTGTGTGCATGCGTGTGTACGTGCGTGCGTGCATGTCCGTGTGTTGTGTGGTATGTGTGTGTGTATTGGGCAGGCTTGGTCCCCTCGTATTTATTAAGATATTGCTTTGTTTTTCTTTCCGTTTCTGTCATTTCGTCGTCTTGTGTTTTATTTTATTTTTTATTTCGTGACGTATATTTTAGGTGTACGTGCCATTTGATGTTTTTGATACATTACCGCGCGGTGTAGTGGGCGTAGCCGCATTGTTTTTGCTGGGTCACTGAAGTACACACGCTAAAATGTGTCAGTGAATTATTTTGAAGGGGCAGGAGTCAACGTGAGTGGTTTTAGCGTTCTCATTTAAGGCAACTGCCGTCGAGGGAATGTTTCGTGAACGTGTTTTCACGGAGCGAGATGGATTCCACTATTAATATTAATAGTAGTGTAATAAACGAAACGGTCACTGTTTATACATTTTGAGTAAAATTCAAGTGGCCATCGTGAGGTCTGGTTGTGACCCAATCTTATTTTTCGTCGCACACGCATTTCTCAATGTATCGTACAGTTTAACGTGTGCGTGCGTGCGTGCGTTCGTGTACGTTCGTGTCGATTTTGTGCCGAATCGTACGTGAGATTTTCGTTTTTATTTTTTACGACGAGCTGATGAACTGTTTTACATGATCGTTCGATGAAACGTGTTGTCTTGCTTATGCCGAATCATGTTTGCGTGGCTCGTGAGCATTTTGATATTCTTTACAACCGTGTCTCTCGTTAAGTTGGAGGATTTGATGTAGCGAGGCAATGGTATGAAGCAGAGTGGTTTTGATCGTGATTTTAAGTTCCATACTTTCTTGCCTTTTTCCAAACTTTACGTTTTAAGGTTCCCGAAGGTCATTGAATGTGCGTGCACGCGTGCGTGTGCGTGTGCGCGCGTATGTGCGGCACGCATGCCTGTATGACATAGTTATAGAATTTTCGAATCTCTGCACTCGGACTTTCTGATTTAGAGCGCGTACGTTCGTTGAGATCAAGTTTAGCTTGTACAGTAGATGTATGTACTTTCTTGCTGGCTTGTGTTCGTGTCTAGTGTGCGTGCGTGCGTGCGTGTGTGCGTGTGTGCGTGTGTGTGTGTGTGCGTGCGTGTGTGTGTGTGTCTGCTAGCATGGTGTCTGTGTGCATGTGCGCGGTCCTCCGAGGTTCGGTTTCTCCAGCTAGCGCTAAAGTGTGCAGTGCTGTTTATGCGTGCATGCGTCCGGCGTCGGCATGCGCGTGCGTGCGGCGTCGGCGTGCATGCGTTCGTGCGCGCGTGGCTGTACTCGCATCCAGCGTACAGTCTGCGGCTGTCCTGCGGCCCATACGTGTATATAAAATGGAATATATATAATATTATTATTATTATTATTATTATGTTTTCAAACCACGCGGATGTAATGTATAATATGACCAATAAAGGTGTGAAATGGTGAAGAAAAAAGGTGAACACATCTAGTACCTGTTTGAGTTTCTTCCCGAAGCTTTCATTTTGAAGCGATGTGTGTTGTGTGTGTGTGTTCGTGCCGTGCGTGCGTGCGGCGTATGCGCGCGCAGCGTGTGTGCGTGTGGCAGGCGACAGATATCCACATCCAAGTGTGGCCTTAAGTCACCGGGGGCCTAGGGCCCCGCGCTGGCGCAAATTACACCTGTGCATATGATGCAGCCTAACTTTTTTTTCTGGAGGCGTATAGCTTACAACAAAGGCTTACCACACACTACTATATAGGAGGCCTTAGGACCCCTTCATACACAATACTATATATGTGGCCTTGGTGGGCCGCCAGCATACACTATACTACAATACTATATAGATAGCATTAGGCCACCGTCATATGCAATACTATATATGTGCCATAATGTGGCCTTGGGGCCCCCATCAGAAACTATTCTATTATTACAATACTATATAGGTGGCCTTAGGCCCCCGCCATACAAATACTATATATGTTCACCCTAGCATGTAGGGTACAAAACACCTACTATATGCCCTCGCGTTCTTCCCCTTGCCTCCCTTGTCCCTCGCTCAGCCTCCTTCTTCTACCGCCCCAGTTATCTTTTCTGCCGCCTTTCCCCCGTCTCCCATCCCCTCTCCCCCGCAGCAAGCTATATTATGAAGTTTTTCTCAGACGGCACTGCACGCCTAACACGATGCGATCTCCCGAAAGAAATCGTATTTTGCAAAGATCATGCATTTAAAATGAAGAGGCGTTATCCTAGCATAGATTTGTATGATAACATTCCATCAGTAGACATCATTTAAGAAATAAGAGGAAGACCTGTCATGTAAGGTCCCCTCTGCGTATACCAGCCAGTACACAATCTGGCTACGTTAGTGTGTTAGCGCATGCGCAATATCTCACCAGAGGAGTTATATTTTGTGATGAATATGCATTTGAAATTGTTAGGGGGTATCTCAGCATAGATTTCCCTAATAAACTTTTATCAGTAGACCTGTGTTTACAATTAGGAGAGCGCCCTAGCATGTAGAGTGCAAAACACTTACTTTATACCCTGGCGTCCTTCCCCTTGCCTCCCCTGTCCCTCGCTCAGCCTCCTTTTTCTTCTACCGCCTCCAGCTATTTTTCCTGCTACCTTTCCTCGGTCTCCCATCCCCTCTCCCCCGCAGCAAGCTATAGCTATATATTATGAAGTTTTCCTCAGGCGGCACTGCACGCCTAACACAGTGGTGGCTTTGCTAGGCACTGCTGTTTGAAAGAGAACTCTTCAACGTAACGTGTCTTTCATTAAAATAATTTCAATGATAACACAAATTTTAATTATCCCATGTAGTGTATCCCAAGTAAACCCAACCTTAACTAAAAATCATGCTAAATGCTATATGCTACCTTTCACTGCTGCGCGTTACAGGTCACGGGCAAGTTTAGAGGTGGCTATAACCCTTTCAATCAAGGTTGCTGTAACAATTGTGCGAGTGCGCTGTGTGGGCCCATGTATCCAAGGTAGGTGTACAAGACTTTCATAACTAATCGTAACATACTAACATTCAATAGACTTACGTGTTAATGATTAAAACGTGTGCTTTTATTATCAATATGGATGTGAAGGCAGTTGTGATTATACCTGTAGAAGCGTGAGAGGAGAGAAATATCAGTGAAATCTCGCTCTGCGTCTACATTCAGTGACGGCAGCTGGTATCAACCCGTACGTCCAGGCTCTACCTCCATTTAACCCGTTACCTTATTCACTTCCGCGGCCAGGTATGCAAAATACCAGCATAGAAGCCCTTCGCTGAAGATACAGATTCCAACACTGATGACGCCGCCTGTGGTGTCAGCCAATGATGTGAAGATCACCACTCCACATAAGAACTCCATAGAGCTGCAGTCGCCAGTCAGTCAGGTAGGCGACCCGTGCTTTCACGATAGTTACAATTCGACATGACTCGAGTTCTCGTTTGCGAAATGCATTTTGCCGTTTATCGTTGATGACGCTGATGTGCGAAATCTACGAGATTAAAGCTTTGTGCGCAGGGCTTTGTTACGTGTACCTCATTATCTACCTGTCCTTATCTTACGTGTCGTTAACCCACCTGTCGTTAATTCACCTGTCGTTATTTGTTTCCTCAGCTGCCGACGCACATGTACAACTCTCACGTGACGATGGGCGATGAGATCGCGATGCAGCACCGGCAGAGCCAGTCTCGCGACTCGGAGCCCAGCCCCCCGCACCCCGGCTCCTACTCGAACCTCTTCGACGGCACCGACGAGATCAGCAACTACGGCGCCCTCTCGCCCAAGCGTTCGCCGCACGCCGCCGGCGCCCCCTACCAGGGCCAGCAGCGCGGCCCGCTATCGCCGTCGTCGGCCTCGCGCTTCCTGCTCGGCAGCCCCGCGGCGCAGCGGGC